TCAGATACACTGGAAAGAAAAGAGTGGAAAAATATTAACTATACCACCACTGCTATTCCAACCCTTACCATATAGCCCCATTTCTCAGATGGGCCCCTGGTTGCTTGAGTTATTTGAATTCCAAACCACCAAGGCTAATCTAGTATTCTTTCAAGTCTAGATGGTGTGTATGTGATATGAGGCAGATCAAACATTTATCCTTTCTCAAACTAGTAGAGACATTACTAGTTTTTGTTTGTATATTCACCATTTGCCTTGAATCAGTTGTCGTTTACTACTTTACAAATTAATAAGCAAAGATGATTGTTTTGGGATATATAATTCACTTAGTGCATATGCATTGAAATACTACTTGTCAGGTACTGAGAAATCCATAGTTAAAAATCCATTGTCTTCAAAACATATTCATTGTCTGTTCAGTCCATCTTAAGTGTCTTCTTTCTTTCTGCAACTTCTTAATATAGTGGTAATAATATTTCACAACACTGTATGTGACTAAGGAGACCAGATTCAAAACTCTGCACATGTATGTTACCACACCACCTCTACCATCAAAGCACCTATAATTCTCCATCATATACCACGGGTTTTACCTGCCCCCCTTTACAGCTTCCTCAAGTAGCCTCAATTTTACACTAATATTTCTAGATTTTCTGTTGGTTCAATTTTGTCTGTTCTTTTGTTTCCTTGTATTCCATGTATGAGTGAAATAATCTGGTATTTGTCTTTGCTCTTCAGGCTTATTTACTTAGCATAATAGCACCTTTCCCCATCTAATCCCCATATTCCTTCAAGTTCTATATTGGATTCTTTAGTTCCCCACATCACCCCTTTCTTATATCCACAGCTGTTACTTAGAAATTTTGCATCATTGTCTGTTCTGCTCAGATTATGCTTCTGATAAATAAATTGCCTTATAATGTACTGGTTTTTATTTGTTATTTCATTGTAATTCTATTTACTTATTTTAATGTAAATATGTATATGGCACATACATACATATATATTATTCCAAGTGAGTGATCGAGAAAGAGATAAATGCTGGATGGTTTCACTTATATGTGGAATCTAGAGAAATAAAGCATTCAGGAGAAACACAAACTGTAACACTGAAATTTGAAAGAAGATCTTATACTTGAGACATTCAGGAGGTGAGGGGGAGGCAGAGGAAGAGGAGAAGAGTAAAGAACGGGGTGGAAAGAGAGTGGTGGAGTGTGATGAACTGAGTCCTTTGGTAGTGGGAAATGTGTGATAACTGCATCTATGGGCAGAAATCCTATATTGTGAAAAAAATAAACAAGGATGTTAAAAAATATTATCCAAATGCTCTATCTTGTTATAGCACTTGGTAAACTATTTGGCTTGTAGGATTCTCAGTGCTTTGTTTGTTTGTTTGTTTTTTTAAGTTGTAGATCACAAAGCCTTTGCTTTTCTCCCCTTCTTAAAGTTTTACTTTTTCACTTCATGCTTTCCATTAAGGGCTGGCTAATGGGTGGTATGTGTTCTTATTAGCCAGCTCCTGTTCTTAGAAATATTGTCCAGTTTCATACAGACACATTACTATGGGAAATGCCACTTGGATATCAAAAATACTTAGAAATATAACAAAATAACATTATATAATCTTTTCAAATTCATCTGGTCACAGTCCCAGGAACATCATATATTTGATGTTCTAAATATATGATATATTGATGTTCTTGTGGATAGGGCTGTCTTCTTAATTTCTCCTCCAGTACCTTTAGGAAAACCAGAAAGTCCAGCTTGCAGGTAAAAAAATCTTGAAGAGTCAACCCAGGTAGAATAAGGGTTATTATCTTAAGTAGGAAATTTGTAATCTGATGCCATCCTGACTGTGTGATTCACGTATTGACTTCCCAGGATATATCTTAGCTCCCATCTTTCACAGAAATTAGCTCCCATCTCTCATAGTTTCTGTGCAGATATTTGTTGCCAGACACTCAGGAAAACAATAAACTTAAATCCTTTCATTTTAAAAAATCTATTTTTTTCTGGTGGTATTAATATGCTTCATTTTAAATTTTGGCTGACTAAATACTAAAGAAAACTACTTAGTTTTTTTAAAGACAAGGTTATGCATCTTTCTGAATGTTATCCAGGGCTATATAACAGCTATTCCATTTTGTTGGTCTTCTACTGAGGGTAAATTAATCAGGGACATATGTCATGTGAATGGGACAATAGAATGCAGACACTAATTCAAAAACCTCCATGTACACCCCCATGTTCATTGAAACATTATTTATTCTAAACAAGTTATGGGGAAAATGTATGTGTCCTTGGACACATATATATATATATGTATACACACACGCACACACACACATATAATAGAACCTCTTGAACTATACAAAAGAATACAATATTACATTTGTGACTACATTGTGACTACATGGATATACTTTGAGGTCTTAATGCTAAGTGAAAAAAGTCAGACAAAATTTGTATGGTCTACTTTATATATGACATATTAAAAAATCTCTCCAAATAAACAACTCAAAGAAAACTCAAGCTGATAGATTCAGAGGACAAGTATTGAATCATTTTGCTCTTCACCTGAATATATTATAATTATATAATATAATTAATATAATGTTATGTATCAACAAAAATAAATTATAAATAAATCATCTTCATTTCTATGATCATTCATGTGACATCAACACATTATATGGAGGAGATAGTCTGTTACAATATAGCTATATGGAAAAGAATAAACTTCAGTTACTATTGAGGGTCTCCCCTAATGGTGAGGGAAATAGACACATAGTGCCTTTTTTTCAAGGAACTATTGTAAACACTTGAGCACATGTTAACTTGATAAATACTCATGATAACCCTGAGAACTAGTACTATTATTACTCCCATTTAATAAATTGGTAAATATCAAATGATAATAATAGCCTGTGATATTGACAACTTTTTATATGCCAAGAACTAGTTTAAGTGAATTTATATATACTAACTCATGTAATCCTCCTCCCATTAACCACATTAAATGAGTAGCATTTCCCCCACACACCCCTTCTTCATAGGTAAAAAAAAAAAAAACAAGGTTTGTAGGAGCCAAATACCTTGAAAAAGTTAGTCTGCTTTCTCCATATGCTCTCTTATAGCCCATAGGAGTTGAAGAAACACCAGATAGGAAATGACTCAAACTATTTTGGCTAGAAACAATGAGGCCTAGTTGAAAGGTGTTTGAATAGAGACTAAAAACTGAATTCTCTCCTGCTTGCTTCTCTGGCAGCAAACAAGCAAACTCTGCTGAGCTTCTGATTCCCCTCTGTGAACTGTTTCCCACCTCCTTGAAATCAGGAAAAAATTTGTTGTCGCTGCTGTCTTGTAATTCATAGTTAATATTATCTCATGCATGTACTCTAATTTTCTTTCATTCATCCCTACTCTTGTCCAATTCTGGCACTTGAGAAAACACACTTTCTCATTCTCCTTTTCTGTATTGATCATTTACCATGTGCCATGCTATGCTAAGCCCTTCAAATATATAATTGGAAGAAAACCTCAAAAATTAAAATCTCAGCCTACAAAGAGCTTGCAGTCTAATCGAAATCAGTTTTCTACCTCTGACATTACTATGTTTATGCCTTACTATGTTTTTTCCTTTATTGACCCAAGCCCTGTCTTCCAAGAGGCTTCATGGAAGACTTAGTTCGTGGCAGAGAATGGTTTAAAATCTAAATGGAAAAGTTCAAGTTTGTAAAGAAAAATATTTTGTCAGAAATATGATTTCCAGACTCTTAAATTACAGGTAGTGTTGTCTGGTATATTTGCTGTTTCTCTATTTCTGGTTGGCCTAGAGCCAAAAAAGATAATATGCCTTTTTGAGGAGGGGATGGGGGAATTAGTGATGAATTTATGTGTGGACAGTTCTTATACTTAAATCAATGAAATGAAAACTCATGAAATAGAGATATTTCAAAGCTTCAAAATTCTCCAAACTCTTTGAGAGTAACCCAGAAGCTTTCCTTATAACTCCAATGGAATATTCTTTATGCATTATTGTCATGTAATTGAGACTACTTTCCCTAGTTACTGACATTAATAAGGGAATTGTGTTTAGGTTTATCTTTTACTTTTTATGTGATTTTATTGTAATTTTACATTGTTGCTGATTGTGCATTTGCTGTATTTTAACTGCATTATGTCTTAAATGGCTATTGTGACATGATCTGTAACAGTAACCTTCTGTGTGTAAAGGAATGTGACATCTCAAAATTAACTAATTTATAGACAACTCTGAAACGCTATTAGGTCATAAATGAGGAAACTATTTGTATTTGACTTGGACACAAAGTGATCTGAAATTAAGTCATAGCAAGCTGTGGATTAATCTTTTTTACCCTCTCTAATGAAATTAGACTGTAGAAAGGCAAAATGACATCTGATTGAAGATGTGATGACATGTTCTCCTGGCAGGATTGTTTATGGGGTTGTAGGACTGCTGATTGAAGCCTCTGAGTCTTTCCTTTCCTGGGTAGACAAGACATATAACAAAGAAACAGAGGATTGCTTATGTTAACCCCACATGGCTTGTGTGTATATGAAAAGTGGACAGATAGTGTTTCTTTAGAGAGATCTGCTGTGTAATGAATTCATTATGGTAAATATCCATACCGGAACATGGAACTTCTTAGAATGAGAGGATTCTGGAAAGTAGTATGTTGATATTCCCATGGAAATTGGGTGTGTTGGAGAGATAGTAAGAAACTGGAGTCACATTCATATAGGATTTGAGTTAAGGGGAAAGCTAATATTATGGGAACAATTTAGGGTCATCTTGATGAGTAAAATTATACATTAGACAATTGCCCAAATGTTGACTTCTCAGTTGTAGTAAATCGTTAAATATAAGAATAATGTTCATAGAAAACTGTTTGTAATCAATGGTGAATGGTATGCTGTATGCATATAATAGGTTAGATAGTGTTTTAAAATTGTCTTTCACTGGTCTTTTTTTCCAGATTTGGATAAATTCATAAACAACTTGGAACTCCAACTTAAATCAGAGGTGGATCAATGCATGTATTCAAACAGGTCAGTTATCAGAAAAATTAGATACTAATATTTAGCCATAATAGTGTTGGATACATACACTGTAATCATTATAGATGCTCATTTTCTTTCTAACAACCTTTGGCAACTGAATATGAGTGAAGAGAGGGAGGTTTCTGAATGTCAGGTTTCACATTCACATAGGAGGTGGATTCTACAGAAAAGATACATAGTTTCTTAGATCAAGAATATAGGGGCACAATTAAATGCTTTATATACAACAGCAATCATTTATCTAATGCTATTCCATATTTCTGCCACTCGGAATATTAAATGTACTGCCCTATTTAATCTTAACAATAACACAATAACTGTGTTGGATAATACAATAGGGTTCTCCAGAGAAACAGGACCAACATAGTGTATATACTTCATTATATCTCTCTCTAAATAGATAAAAGTATGGACGGATGGATGGATGGATGGATGCATAGATACATAGATACATAGATGATTGATAGGTAGAAAGTACAAGATACAGAGTCCAAAATTTGATGGGTTAGGTTGGCAGTCTGGAGATGCAGGGAAGAGTTGCAGTTCAAAGATAGTTGCTGGAGGAAATCATTCTGGCTTGGAGGAGGTCAGTCTTTGTTAAGGCCTTCGAGTGATTGGATGAGATTAACCCACTTTATGAAAGGTAATCTGCTTTACTGAAAGTCTAGCCATTTAAGTGTTTATGCCACTCATAAAATCACCTTCACAGCAACATTAGGAGTGATGTTTAAGCAAATATCTAAGAAATGTGACTCAGCCAAATTGACACATAAAATTAACCATCACAATTAAGTATTCTCAAAGTTCCCATTTTATAGATAAGAAAATTGTGACTTCCAGAGCAAGTACTCAAAAGAAATTATCTTGTTTTTGTAGACAAAATGTGGGAGATGGCCCCAGTGGCCTAGGGGTTAAGTCTCAGTTTTGTTTGAGCTGGAACCTTGGCCATAGAGCAACCCATATATTGTATTGTTTCTAGCCAAAATAGTTTGAGTCATTTCCTAATTGCTATTCTTCAGTTCCTGTGATTTATAAGACAGTAGAAATCTATTGTATTTGAAATAAAAATTGCCCAACAAATCTTGTCAAGCATGCATAACTACCTTATTTACCCATAGACCTAAGTAGAATTCCAAAAATATTTTCTCATTCATTATTTTAGTATACTAAATTTCCAGAATTTGAAGCAACTTTGGTAAATTCTAGTTAGTAGATAATTAAAGCAGTTTTTGTTCTCACTTCCAGGATATCTCTTTAATAAAGGTAGGGTGCTTGTGGAATATGGCTATAGAGCACTGCAGACATCCTAGGGACAAAGACCCAGAGTACGTGTTTTATAACAACTCTCACTAATCTACAGTACACGTTATCTCCTGAACGGCTAAGTTATCTGTATCATTTATTCATGTGATTCTGCTCATTAATTGTTCTCTACTTGTCAACTGCTTCATGTAAATACTGTTGTCTTCACAATGATAATATTTGTCTCCCAAACTTCTTATTTATGTACCATCTTCACAATTTTGCCTATCTTTATCGTCAGTATTATTTGCTTATTTTTAAAATTAGGTAAGCTAAAACTAAACAAAAGCCTGTATTAATTTTGCTTTAAGCAGTCTGGAGAATTTTAGTTTTGAGTTTCCGAGGGCTGCCACGAAAAGTATTACTAAAACTCAGTTGCTTAAAACAGCAGAAATTTGTCACCTTGCAGCTATATAGAACAGTAGCCTAAAATCAAGGTACTGTAAGAGCTGCAATGCCTCCCGAGGCTCTAGGAGAGAACCTGACCTTTGCTTCTTCCAGCCTCTGGTGGAAAGGGTATTCCTTGATTTATGGACTCAACATTCATTGTCTCCATCTCCTCGTTACTTTCTTATCTATGTCTCTGTGAGACTCTCATATGTGTACATATTACAAGGAAACATCAATTAATTTAAGATCCTCCCTAATATCCAAGACAATCTCCTCAAAATCACTAGCTAAATTGTCTCTTCAAAAACATTTCAAATAAGGTAACATTCCTGGGTTCAAGAAATTAGGGTGTTGACAAATATTTTGGGGAACACCTTTTAACCCAATACAGTGTATAATATTTATTTTTTCAATATGTAATTTGTTTATTTTTTAATGTGTAAACTATTAAATATATAACATATTTATTTTTTCTTCACATACTCTACTCTTTAATCCCGTATTTCATTTATTCTAATTTTTAAAGCATGTACATATTACCCTTACTTACTTTGTTCCTTTGGTCTGAGTACTCCTCCCTTCTCTTATTTATTTTTTAGATTTTATATATATTTTTTTTTAAAAGATTTATTTATTTGTGCATACAGAACTGAGGTATAGGCCAGAGACGCGGAGGGTGAGAGGATTCACCAGAGACAGAGTGGGTAGCAGAACAGGCAGATCGACAAAGTACACTGCTGAGGGGAGCAGCGGGCGGGTCAGGAGAGGTCTGCCACGCCATGTGGTCACCTCCAGGGCAGGCGGGAATCGAACTCATGCGGAAGCGGCTTTAGATTCTCAGTGCTGTGCTTTAACCCGCTGCGCCACCAGGGAGGGCCAGATTTTATATATTTTTACATCATTCTTCATTTTCATACAATGTGTGCTTTATCATCTCATCCATGTTCCCCCCAAAATTCCCATACCATTCCAAATGTGTACTGTTACCATTGTCTCTGTTGTCTTCCCACCCCTGTTTTGATCTGACTTATTTCCCCCTCCTCCAAAGAATGTCTCTGGTTTATAGTTGCCTGTTGATTTTGGTTTTTACTTTGTTATGGCTACTTCCCACCTTCCTACGTCCCTTGTTTGGGAACCAGACATTTATGTTATAAGAGAAACAACATGCTATTTTCCTTTCTCTTTTTGGCTACTTTCAATGAGCATTATCCCTTCCAACTCCATCCATTTTGCTGTGAATGGCATGAGCTACCTTTTTTTGTTGTTGTTGCTGAGTAATATTCCATTGTGTATATGTACAACATCTTCTTGATCTAGTCATTTATTTTTGGGCATTTAGGTTGTTTCCATAGCCTACCTATTTTAAATAATGCTGCAATAAATATAGGAGTGCATTTGCTCTTTTGAATTGATGTTTTTGCATCCTTTGGGTAAATACCCGGGGGTGGAATTGCTGGATCATATGGGAGTTCAATTGGTAGCAATTTGAAGAAACTCTATACTGCTTTCTGTAGTGGTTGGAACAGTTTGCAGTCCCAGCAATAGAAGAGTGCTCCTTTTTCTCCAAAACCTCACCAAAATTTGTTGTTGTTGTTTTTTCCCCCATATTTGCTATTTTCACTATAGTAAGTTAATGTCTCCTTATGACTTCGATTTGTATTTCCCTGACTACCAGTGATGTTGAAGATTTTTTTCATCTGTCTGTTGGCCGTTTGTATTTCCTCTTTGGAGAAGTGTCATTTTTGACCTTCTGCCCATGTATTGACTGGATTATTTACTTTGTTTTTGTAGAGTTATATAAGCTCTTTGAAGATCGTTGTGATCAGCTCTTTATCAATTGTATGGATTACAATGATTTTTTCCTATTTCCTTCTCCACCCCCGTAAAATGTTTCTGGGTTATAGTTGTTCATTTTTTTTTTTTACTTTATTACAATTGCTTTTTTTCCCTGCGATAGCTTTTCAAAAACCTATTTTCTTAAAAGCATGAATAAGGGACTTATTAATTCTTGAGGTTTCCTCTTATGTTTCAGGCAAGGTATTTCTTAGTATCAGTTACCTCCACTGCTTTTAACAGTTTTTTTTTTTTCATTTCTCTATTTATAATCTCTATTTTCTCTTTTGTATACAAGGCAGAATCCCTGAATGATTCAGAGTGCATTCCAAACAGTAATTGGAAATTGTGCCTGCTGCAAAATTCATGAGGTTTACCTCTGCGATGAGTGAAACCATCTGGTATTTTTCTTTTTCTTTCCAGCTTATTTCACTAAGCATGGCCCCTTCCAGAGCCATCCATGTTGCTGCAAAAGGCATGTGTTTATCTATTTTGTTTGCTGAGTAATATTCACTTGTGTATATGTACACATCTTTTTAATCCATTCATCTATTTTTGGGCATTTGACTTGATTGCACAACTTCCCGATAGTCAATAGAGCAGCAACAAACATAAGGGTGTGGGTGTCTTTTTGAATCAATATTTTTGTGTTCTTTGGGTAGATACCTAGGAGTGAGATTGCTGGGTCTTTTGGAAGCTCCATTTTTAGTAGTTTGAGAAACCCCCAAAAAGCTGTCCATAGAGGTTGTAACAGTTTACATCCCCACCAGCAGTGTAGGAGCATTCCTTTTTCTCCACATCCTCACTAAAATTTGTTGTTGCTGGTTTTTGTGGTTCCATATGAAGTTCAATATTTGTTTTATTTCTTTGAAGATCATCATTGCAATTTTTATTCAAACTTCATTGATTTTCTAAATTGCTTTTGGCAAGATATCCATTATGATAATGTTAATTATTGTGATATATCAACAGTTTATCTTTCCATTTTTTGTGTATGTCACAGGTAATCTTTCCATTTTTTGTGTGTGTGTTCTTCTAATTCCTTTAGTGATGCTTTGTAGATATCCTTGTATAGGTCTTTCAACTCCTTTGTTCCATTTATTTCTAAGCATTTTTTAGTACAATTGTAAATTATATGATTTTCTTAATTTCTTCCTCTTAATATCTGTTGTTTGTATATAGTAGGGCTACTGATTTTTGTGTATTGATTTTGTAACCTGTTACTTTACTAAACTGGTTATTGTCGTAATTAGTTTTCTGTAGATTTGTTAGGATTCACTATATATATTATGAGATCACCAGCATATAATGATAGTTTCACTTACTATTTCCCTATTTAGACTCCTTCTATGTCTTTCTTTTGCCTAATTGCCCTATCTAGGATTTCTAGGACTATATTGAAAAGCATTGGTGAGTTTGGACATCCTTATCTTGTTTCTGTATGCACAAATAAATAAATCTTT